CTCGACAGGTGCTCGGCCCGCGCCGCTGGCTCTGGGGAAAAGAAATCTTGGCGTCCACTTCAAAGGCATGCGGGCTCCGGGCGGGTTTGAAAAGGAGCCTGTCGGGAGCCAGCGCCTGCAATGTGGGCTTTTGTTACCAAACCCCGCCGAGAGGCAGGGAAAACAGTTGCGTGTGTGTTTGATGGCTGGGGTTTCTGCGTCTGCCGCCTTCGCAGCTCCGATCTCGCAACATTTGTGCTGGTTCGCAGGAGCCAGAAAGTGAAACAGGCACGTCTATAGCCACCTCCCGCATTTAGCAGTAAACAGATTATGCCGATAAAGGAGCAGAAAATGTGCTGGCGGGAGCGATTTCTGACTTTACGCTCGTCACTCATTACTTACACAGGGAAGGAATTTGTTTACGGAATTATTTTTAGCCTGACAGCATCTCCGAAAGCTGCAGCGATTCAGGCGCTGCCCGCCAGCCTCCCCAGCCCTCTGCCCCGCTCCCCGGTGAAACGAACCCCCCGAGAGCGGGCACGAGGAAGGGTGCTCTGCTCCTGCCACCGGGCCAGCGCCGGCCCCGCACCAAACCCGGCAGCGCTCGCAAGCCCTTGTGCAAACTCTCCGTGCCAAAAACGCCTCCACCGGCCTCAGCTGCAAACCCCCCAGCTCGGGCTTTGCATCTCACCTATGGCAGGGGGCATCCCTGGAGCCGCTGAGCGCCCTCGGGCCCACGCGCCCCCCCGCGGGATGCGTCCTGCTTCGGCAGTCAGAATTCAGCTGATGCAAAATCCAGCCCTTGGTGCTGCCCCGCCATCCTGCCCTGCGGCGCCGGCCGGGAGGCGAGCCCGGTGAGCACCACAGCCCACAAAGCGTCCGGACTTCAAGGCAGTTTTAGCAATGCCGAAGGCAAAGGTTTAATTCAAAGTGAAACGCCTAGGAAAAGAAGGCCTTTCCTTTTATAAACAATTTATATTATTTGACTATTACCTGATCTGAATCTCTGCTCATTACTCCTAGCAATAGTAGACAACGGCTGTTAGGTTCTCTTTCTCACGTGGTTGGGGTTTCTTTTTTCCTGTGTGCGCAGAGTAAAGTCACATCAGATCGCTACAGAGATATGTTCAAGAGCGCTCCGGCCAAGCAGATCCCACGTGTGAATGCATCCTCATCGTTAGTACAACTGATTTTCATTCCTCCTGCGACGCCGCTCGGACCACGAGAGCAGGCATGACGCTGCTCCTCCCAAGTCTGAGCCCCCCTGGCTCCTCCACTGCAGCTCACATCAGCTGCCGGCTTTTGTTTCCTTTTTTTTTTTTTTTTAATTTTTCCTTTTTGGCTGATTTGCTAGATAGGAGAAGTTGTTTTCAAACCGCTGGTAAGAAAACACTGTGCCTCACTTCAAAACTTGTACTGCAGAGGAGTACGACAGCAGAGGGGGGACAGCCAAAAAACTGGGTTATTTGTTGGGTGGGTTTTGTTCCTTTTTCAGCCATCTTCTTAGGACGCCGTGTGCACGTTCTGTGCCAGCAACAAACCCCAGCGCTGGGACCTGGAGGGGAGAAGGGTGGGAAGGAGAACAGCACGTGCTCAGCCTCAGTCGCGCCGCGGCCAGCACCGGCACCAGGGCCGGTACCAGCTGCCGCACGCTGCAGCCCCCCCAGCCACCAACGGGGCTCGTCCCCACCCAGGGACACTCTGGACCTGACCCCGAGCACCCAGCTCCCTCCTCCGGCCAGGACAGACGGACAGGGCTGTTTGCACGCTCAGCGGGAAGCCTACGTCCCCAGGTGCCTCTCACCGTTTACTGCCCTTCCTTCGGCGTCTCCTCCTCCTCCTGGAGCTGCTGCCTCCGTGCCTGGAAGTCTTCATCTGAAAGGCAGAGGCAGGCGGGGGCTGGTGGGGGCTGCAGCCGCTTCCACGCCAGGGCACTGGCCACCGCGCCATGGTCCCAGCCCCAGCGAGGTGCCCCAGAGGGGAGGCAGCCCAGCCCCTGCCCCAGGGCAGGGATTTCCTCACCCAGGCAGACAATTCCCAGGAACTGGGATGCGGGGACTCTGCCAGAAAACGCCTGAGGACACTGGAAGGAGGTTTTGGCCCACGGGGGCATTTCTGCCGCACAGTCGCACCTGAGCCAGCCCCGGGGTGGTCCGGGCTAGCACTAAACCCACTGCCAAGACCCACCTCGGTGCAAACCTGGCTGATGGCAGATTTGCCAGGACTGTGCCCCGACCCCATGCTAGGCACCCTGCAGGGCTGCACATCCCAGCTGCAAGCCCCCCGAGGGTCCCCGAAAGAGATCCCATCCCCAGTCACCCCAGCAAGCAAACGCTCACAGGAGAGCTGCGTGGGACCAGGGGCAAGCCCACTTCAGGGCTACCCTGATGGTAGCCATCCCCAGGCAGGGTGATGGCGTGGGGCAGGATGGGGCTGGGCACCGCGGGCCCTCAGCTAGCCATGCTGAGCACGGCACGGCACGGTGTTTCTTACCGCATGAATGTCCTTCGACATCGTCGAGAAGATTTGCCGTGGAAGCCGCCGTCCCCAGCCTGTGCCCTCCGCTAAGAAAAATCCATCGTGGGCCCAGGATGTGGCCACAGCACAACGATCTCCCTTCCCAGCCCAGGGCCCTAGAGGCAGCCAGGAGGCCAGACCATGGCCCTCGGAGCCCCCAGGAGCACCTGAGCGAGGCAGCTCCAACAACCGCCTGCCCCCCCCGCAGCTCCCCAGCCCCTTTTTAGGATACACCTGGTGCTTCAACAAGTGTTTTCTTTTCGATTTCCTCATCTTCGTCTTCTCGGAGAAGGCCCTGGCAAGTTCAAACAGCTTCTTGCGCGTGGCTGGAAGGAAGCAGCGAGTGAGGGTCTCGCCCCAAGACCCTTCTCAAAGCTGCCCCGGGGAGGAGATGGCCAGGGCCAGCGATGCGAGAGCCACCCGTGCCCCGGTGCCCCATGGCAATGCCGTGGGTTTGCCTGGGAACACCAGGGCTGCGCGAGGCTCAGAGAGCCGGGTCCTGCAACCGAGTTGGTCCCTGGCGGGGAGTGCTGACGTTTTCACCCTTTCGCTGGGGTTTTCATGGCCTTCCCTACCCACGACTGAGCCCCCTACGCCCAGTGTCTCAGCCGGCTGCAGCCCGACGCAAGCTGCCCAAAGGCCTCGGTCGATTTTGCGGCAGGAGAAGTGGGCTGTGACTCGCTAAGAGGAAGGGATTGGAAAAGGGACTTACAGAAAACCCTCTGGTTCTCGAGGGTTCACACAAACCCCGCTCAGGAATTCCTCTATTCCCCACCAGCGCCTGCATCCTTGACTCACGCCACAACCACACGTGCTGCGGGGACAGAAGGATGGTGCAGAGCTGGGGCATGAAGACCCAGGTCTCCATCTCCTGTCCGTCACGCTGGCGCCCAGCCCCGGCGTGCGGCACGGACGCTCCCCGTCACCGGCGAGGGCTGGGACGGCAGCACCACAGGGTGGGGAGGCACCAGCCCAGGACTCTAAAATGCAGACGGAAACTCAACCCCAAAGCACCGCTGCTGGGGCTGAGCACGGGCTGAGCACCACGTGCCACCGCTGCCGGGCTGAGCACGG